CTACCAGGGTCTGTTCCCTCTGTGAGCCTGATTTTTCTAGCCTGTAAAATGAAGAGGTTGAACAAAAGGGCTTCCAGGGTCCCTTCCAGCTGCAGATCCAGGTTCTTAGATTAGGCACATTCATTAACCCTCCCTGGGCCTGATTTTTCTAGTGTGTAAAATGAAGAGGATGAACAAGATGGCTTCCAGGGTCCCTTCCCTTACTGGACGTGATGTTTCTAGCCTGTAAAATGAAGAGGTTGAACAAAAGGGCTTCCAGGGTCCCTTCCCTCCCTGGGCCTGATTTTTCTAGCCTGTAAAATGAAGAGGTTGAACAAAAAGGCTTCCAGGGTCCTTTCACTCCCTGGTCCTGATGTTTCTAGCATATAAAATGAAGTGGTTGAACAAAATGGCCTGCAGGGTCCCTTCCAGCTCCAGATCCAGGTTCTTTGATTAGGCATATTCATTAACCCTCCCTGGGCCTGATTTTTCTAGTCTGTAAAATGAAGAGGTTGAACAAAAGGGCTTCCAGGGTCCCTTCCATCTGCAGATCGAGGTTCTTAGATTAGGCATATTCAGTGACCCACCCTGGGCCTGATTTTTCTAGTGTGTAAAAGGAGGAGGTTGAGCCAAGTGGCTTCCAGGGTCCCTTCCACCCCTGGGCCTGATTTTACTGGCCTGTAAAATGAAGAGGTTGAACAAAAGGGCTTCCAGGGTCCCTTCCAACTGCAGAACCAGGTTCTTAAATTAGGTATATTGAGTGACCCTCCCTTGGCCTGAGTTTTCTAGCCTGTAAAATGAAGAGTTTGAACAAAAGGGCTTCCAGGGTCCCTTGCAGCTGCAGATCCAGGTTCTTAGATTGGGCATATTCATTAACCCTTCCTGGGCCTGATTTTTCTACTGTGTAAAATGAAGAGGATGAACAAGATGGCTTCCAGGGTCCCTTCCCTTACTGGACGTGATGTTTCTAGCCTGTAAAATGAAGTGGTTGAGCACAATGGCTTCCAGGGTCCCTTCCCTCCCTGAGCCTGATTTTTCTAGTCTGTAAAATTAAGAGGTTGAGGAAAATGGCTTCCAGGGTTCCTTCCCGCCCTGGGCCTGATTTTTCTAGCATATAAAATGAAGTGGTTGAACAAAATGGCCTGCAGGGTCCCTTCCAGCTCCAGATCCAGGTTCTTTGATTAGGCATATTCATTAACCCTCCCTGGGCCTGATTTTTCTAGCCTGTAAAATGAAGAGGTTTGAACAAAAGGACTTCCAGGGTCCCTTCCCTCCCTGGGCCTGATTTTTCTAGTCTGTAAAATGAAGAGGTTGTACAAGATGGCTTCCAGGGTCCGTTTCCTCTCTGAGCCTGATTTTTCTAGTCTGTAAAATGAAGAGGTTGAACAAAATGGCTACCAGGGTCTGTTCCCTCTGTGAGCCTGATTTTTCTAGCCTGTACAATGAAGAGGTTGAACAAAAGGGCTTCCAAGGTCCCTTCCAGCTGCAGATCCAGGTTCTTAGATTAGGCATATTCATTAACCCTCCCTGGGCCTGATTTTTCTAGCCTGTAAAATGAAGAGGATGAACAAAAGGGCTTCCAGGGTCCCTTCCAACTGCAGATCCAGGTTCTTTGATTAGGCATATTCATTAACCCTCCTTGGGCCTGATTTTTCTAGCCTGTAAAATGAAGAGGTTTGAACAAAAGGGCTTCCAGGGTCCCTTCCCTCCCTGGGCCTGATTCTTCTAGTCTGTAAAATGAAGAGGCTGTACAAGATGGCTTCCAGGGTCCCTTCCCTCCCTGAGCCTGATTTTTCTAGTCTGTAAAATGAAGAGGTTGAACAAAATGGCTACCAGGGTCTGTTCCCTCTGTGAGCCTGATTTTTCTAGCCTGTAAAATGAAGAGGTTGAACAAAAGGGCTTCCAGGGTCCCTTCCAGCTGCAGATCCAGGTTCTTAGATTAGGCATATTCATTAACCCTCCCTGGGCCTGATTTTTCTAGTGTGTAAAATGAAGAGGATGAACAAGATGGCTTCCAGGGTCCCTTCCCTCCCTGGGCCTGATGTTTCTAGCCTGTAAAATGAAGAGGTTGAACAAAAAGGCTTCCAGGGTCCCTTCCCTCCCTGGGCCTGATTTTTCTAGCCTGTAAAATGAAGAGGTTGAACAAAAAGGCTTCCAGGGTCCTTTCACTGCCTGGGCCTGATGTTTCTAGCATATAAAATGAAGTGGTTGAACAAAATGGCCTGCAGGGTCCCTTCCAGCTCCAGATCCAGGTTCTTTGATTAGGCATATTCATTAACCCTCCCTGGGCCTGATTTTTCTAGCCTGTAAAATGAAGAGGTTGAACAAAAGGGCTTCCAGGGTCCCTTCCAGCTGCAGATCCAGGTTCTTAGATTAGGCTTATTCAGTGACCCACCCTGGGCCTGATTTTTCTAGTGTGTAAAAGGAGGAGGTTGAGCCAAGTGGCTTCCAGGGTCCCTTCCACCCCTGGGCCTGATTTTACTGGCCTGTAAAATGAAGAGGTTGAACAAAAGGGCTTCCAGGGTCCCTTCCAACTGCAGAACCAGGTTCTTAAATTAGGTATATTGAGTGACCCTCCCTTGGCCTGATTTTTCTAGCCTGTAAAGTGAAGAGGTTGAACAAAAGGGCTTCCAGGGTCCCTTCCCTCCCTGAGCCTGATTTTTCTAGCCTGTAAAATTAAGAGGTTGAGGAAAATGGCTTCCAGGGTCCTTTCCCTCCCTGGGCCTGGTGTTTCTAGCCTATACAATGGAGAGGTTGAACAAAAGGGCTTCCAGGGTCCCTTCCAGCTGCAGATCCAGGTTCTTAGATTAGGCATATTCATTAACCCTCCCTGGGCCCGATTTTTCTAGCCTGTAAAATGAAGAGGTTGAACAAAAGGGCTTCCAGGGTCCCTTCCAACTGCAGATCCAGGTTGTTTGATTAGGCATATTCATTAGCCCTCACTGGGCCTGATTTTTCTAGCCTGTAAAATGAAGAGGTTTGAACAAAAGGGCTTCCAGGGTCCCTTCCCTCCCTGGGCCTGATTTTTCTAGTCTGTAAAATGAAGAGGTTGTACAAGATGGCTTCCAGGGTCCGTTCCCTCCCTGAGCCTGATTTTTCTAGTCTGTAAAATGAAGAGGTTGAACAAAATGGCTACCAGGGTCTGTTCCCTCTGTGAGCCTGATTTTTCTAGCCTGTAAAATGAAGAGGTTGAACAAAAGGGCTTCCAGGGTCCCTTCCAGCTGCAGATCCAGGTTCTTAGATTAGGCATATTCATTAATCCTCCTTGGGCCCGATTTTTCTAGCCTGTAAAATGAAGAGGTTGAACAAAACGGCTTCCAGGGTCCCTTCCAACTGCAGATCCAGGTTGTTTGATTAGGCATATTCATTAGCCCTCCCTGGTCCTGATTTTTCTAGCCTGTAAAATGAAGAGGTTTGAACAAAAGGGCTTCCAGGGTCCCTTCTCTCCCTGGGCCCGATTTTTCTAGTCTGTAAAATGAAGAGGTTGAACAAAAGGGCTTCCAGGGTCCCTTCCAGCTGCAGATCGAGGTTCTTAGATTAGGCATATTCATTAACCCTCCCTGGGCCTGATTTTTCTAGCCTGTAAAATGAAGAGGATGAACAAGATGGCTTCCAGGGTCCCTTCCCTTACTGGACGTGATGTTTCTAGCCTGTAAAATGAAGTGGTTGAGCACAATGGCTTCCAGGGTCCCTTCCCTCCCTGAGCCTGATTTTTCTAGTCTGTAAAATTAAGAGGTTGAGGAAAATGGCTTCCAGGGTTCCTTCCCTCCCTGGTCCTGATTTTTCTAGCCTGTAAAATGAAGAGGTTGAAGAAAAAGGCTTCCAGGGTCCCTTCCCTCCCTGGGCCTGATTTTTCTAGCCTGTAAAATGAAGAGGTTGAAGAAAAAGGCTTCCAGGGTCCCTTCCCTCCCTGGGCCTGATTTTTCTAGCCTGTAAAATGAAGAGGTTGAACAAAAAGGCTTCCAGGGTCCTTTCACTCCCTGGGCCTGATGTTTCTAGCGTATAAAATGAAGTGGTTGAACAAAATGGCCTGCAGGGTCCCTTCCAGCTCCAGATCCAGGTTCTTTGATTAGGCATATTCATTAACCCTCCCTGGGCCTGATTTTTCTAGCCTGTAAAATGAAGAGGTTGAACAAAAGGGCTTCCAGGGTCACTTATAGCTGCAGATCCAGTTTCTTAGATTAGGCATATTCAGTGACCCTCCCTGGGCCTGATTTTTCTAGTCTGTAAAATGAAGAGGTTGAACAAAATGGCTACCAGGGTCCGTTCCCTCTCTGGGCCTGATTTGTCTAGCCTGTAAAATGAAGAGGTTGAACAAAAGGGCTTCCAGGGTCCCTTCCCTCCCTGGGCCTGATTTTTCTAGCCTGTAAAATGAAGAGGTTGAACAAAAAGGCTTCCAGGGTCCTTTCACTCCCTGGTCCTGATGTTTCTAGCATATAAAATGAAGTGGTTGAACAAAATGGCCTGCAGGGTCCCTTCCAGCTCCAGATCCAGGTTCTTTGATTAGGCATATTCATTAACCCTCCCTGGGCCTGATTTTTCTAGCCTGTAAAATGAAGAGGTTGAACAAAAGGGCTTCCAGGGTCCCTTCCAGCTGCAGATGGAGGTTCTTAGATTAGGCATATTCAGTGATCCACCCTGGGCCTGATTTTTCTAGTGTGTAAAAGGAGGAGGTTGAGCCAAATGGCTTCCAGGGTCCCTTCCACCCCTGGTCCTGATTTTTCTGGCCTGTAAAATGAAGAGGTAGAACAAAAGGGCTTCCAGGGTCACTTATAGCTGCAGATCCAGTTTCTTAGATTAGGCATATTCAGTGACCCTCCCTGGGCCTGATTTTTCTAGCCTGTAAAATGAAGAGGTTGAACAAAATGGCTACCAGGGTCCGTTCCCTCTCTGGGCCTGATTTTTCTAGCCTGTAAAATGAAGAGGTTGAACAAAAGGGCTTCCCGGGTCCCTTCCAGCTGCAGATCCAGGTTCTTCGATTACTCATATTCATTAACCCTCCCTGGGCCTGATTTTTCTAGTGTGTAAAATGAAGAGGATGAAGAAGATGGCTTCCAGGGTCCATTCCCTCCGTGGGCCTGACGTTTCTAGCCTGTAAAATGAAGAGGTTGAAGAAAGTGGATTCCGGGGTCCCTTCCCCCCTTGGGCCTGATTTTTCTATCCTGTTAAATGAGGAGGTTGAACAAAATGGCTTCCTGGGCACCTTCCAGCTGCAGATCCAGGTTTTTACATTTTGCATGTTCATTGACCCTCCCTAGTCCTGACTTTAGTATCGTGGAAAATGAAGAAGTTGAATAAAATGGCCTCAAGGGTCTAGGATCTTGAGATCCAGGTTCCTCGTGTGGTCATATTTATTGCTGTTTCCTGGGCCTCGATGTACTTATTTGTAAAATTAAGGGGCTGTACAAAATGGCCTCCAGGGTGCATCCTAGCTTTTTATCCAGGTTCCTGGGTAGGTATACCCACTGCACTTCTCCAGGCCTCAACGTCTTCCTCTGTAAAATGAAGGCGTTCACTAGATGGTCTCTGAGGTTTCCCCCAGCTCTAGAGGCAGGATCTTATTATGCTTAGTAATTTTCCTTTTCTAGGTCTCACTTTTACCGCCTGTAATGCTGAAGGTTTGTCCTTAATGGCTTTCTTGGCCCCTTCTACCTCTGCATTTATTCTACTGTTAGGTATATTTACTTTTCCCTCCGTTAACTCGGTTTCTATTCCCTAAAATGAAGGGGTTGAAGTAGATGAAGGCTTCTGGGTGCAAAAGCATGCTTTTGATTTTGCATGATAATTTCTCCTTCCTAGCCCTCCCTGTATTTTCCTGTAAAATAAAAGAGTTTGAGCATATTCCTTGTCTGTTCCCCTTCAGCCTTGAAGGCTAGGTTCCTAGAATGTAAAGGTCCTTCCCCTCCCTTAGCCCCAGTTTTTCCTGCCGTAAAAATTAGGGGATTAAGACTAGATGGGCTGTGAGGTTTTTGTTAGATCTAGAGTTAGGATCCTATTATGCAGTCATTCCCCCTTCTCTATACACCGCCCCCCAAGTCCAACCAAGTTTCACTTTCCTCCTGTGTAAAGCAGAAAGGTCTAATAAAATGGCCTCTGAGTTCCCATAATTTGCTAGATCAAGGTTCCGATTATGCTTGCACATTTTCCCCTCTGGGCCTTGTTTTCTTAGCCTATAAAATGAATAGGTTGGAGAAGATGGTCTCTGGGGTTCCTGGTGGCTCCAGTTCTAGTTTGCTATTATGCAAAGATATACTGTCCACCCCACCCTCACCTCAGTTCCTTTCTCAGTAAAATCTAGTCTAGATAGGCTTTGAGGTTCCCCCCAGCTCCAGATCAGGGATCCTACTTTGCTCAGTCTTTTTCTCTCCTTGAGCTTCACTTTGCTAATTTCTAACATAAGGTGGTTAAAAAAAAAAAAGAAATGCTGACAAACTAAGGGCACCTAGGTGGCACAGTGGATAGAGCACCGGCCCTGGATTCAGGAGGACCTGAGTTCAAATCCGGCCTCAGACACATAACACTTACTAGCTGTGTGACCCTGGGCAAGTCACTTAACCCCATCGCCTAACCAAAAAAAAAAAAGGACAAGAAATACTAACATAAGGTGTTTAGAATAGATGATGTCAGGTTCCTTATCTCTTAGAAGTTCCTATCATTTCCATTTTCCCTCTGAGGAATCCGAGATTGAGGGTGGTGGAGTGATTTGGCCTGGGCCTGGAATTTGAACCCAGCTCTTTTGTCCAGGGTCTCTAAGAGCTCCAACTTTTTCGGAAAGGTGTCATTCTTTACTTCTGACATTTGCTACAATTTCTATTTAAGTTGCTATATTCCAAAAGTAGTTATTGCTGAACATGTCACTGTTTGAAATTTAACATGTAGTCAGTCACATTTGAGACAGTTTTTGCAGAGAGGAAGTGATTATCCAGATCCAGTTTTCTTTTTGTTTAGTTTCAAAGTCCCTTATCATCCACAGTAGAAGAGAGAGTGGAGCCTGCTGAGTGAGTTTGAGGCCCTGAGAGGGGAAAAAACAATCCCACCCAGGCAGGGGAGCTGTCCATTGTACTGAGTGCTGTTACCCAAAGTACTTCTCAGAAGAATGCTTCTGAGTCTTCCAGGCCATTCTTTTTTGTACTATATCTAATCTAAAGCTCTCTGCCTGACTTTCAGGTTGCACCCTTCCTCCCCACCAGCTGATTTCCAGAGGTAAAAAGCCTATGGTGGTTTGGAACTCAGAGCTGGCCTCAGAGCCAGGAAGCCCTGTGTTCTAGTTCCTTCTCTGACCCATACTTAGTGTGTGACCCTGGACAGACCAGCTAACTTCTTGGTACTCTGGATAACCCTTTAAGTCTTAAGAGTCTAAGACTATAAATTGTAGAGTAAGTGCTGCTGACCTGCATTGGCAGAGGGAGCATCCTTATCTGTAAGTTCCTTATGCTAATGAAATCACAGGTCTGATCTCTATCCCTTGGTTCCGTGTGCTAGGCTGGGGGTGTAAAGCAAAACCTGCAGAGACCTTACATTCTAAGGGAGGGATATAATAGGTACAGAAGGTAACCTTAGAAGAGAGTACACTGGATGGTGGGAGGGCACCAGAAGGCCTCCCGCCAAAGATGAGATTTCAGCTGGCTTTAGAAGGAAGCCAGGGAGTCTAAGAGGTGGCAGTGAAGGAGGCCATTCCAGACATGGGAGGTAGCTAGTGCAAAAGCATGGAGAAAAAAGCATAGGAGGAAAAGGCACTGATACTTTCTAGCTATGGAACTCAGGCTAAAAGAAATTAAGGGAGAGATTAAACGGAGGCAGTGTGGCACAGTGGAAAGAGTACTGGCTCTTCAGTCAGAGGACCTGGGTTCAAATCTCATCTTTCATGGTTAATACCTACATAATCTCCAGCTAGTCTCATTGCCTCTCTGGTTCTCACTTTCATTATATGTAAAATGAGAAAGCTTGATTGGATGATCTCTAAGGTCACCCACCTTAGATCTATGATCCTGTGGCTTGCCCAGGACTACACAGCTGATAAATGGCTGCGATGAGATTATATCTGCCAAGACTTGGGAGGACCCTTAGATATCACTGAATCCTACCCTCTCACTTGACATAAAGGGAAATGAAGACCTACAGAAGGGAATAATAAGAGCTTACATTTGTATTGTGCATTAAGGATCAAAATCTAGAGCTTAAAGGAACCCCAGAGGTCTAGCACTGCCCACATTTTACATGAAGAAACTGGGGCCCAGAAAAGTAAAATGACCTTCTCTTTTTTAAAATTCAGTTTATTTGGACTCTGCTTACTTCACTCTGCATCAATTTATGTAGATCTTTCCATGCTTCTTTGTATTCATCACACACATCATTTCTTACATGTTGTATGTTACCTAGTGCAGAGTAATATTTCACTAAATACATGTACCACAATTTGTTTAGTCATTCCTCAATTGTTGGGCATCTAGTTTGTTACTAGTTCTTTGCTGTTACAAAAAGTGCTGCTATAAATATTTTGGAGTACATAAGGACTTTCTTCTTATTGATGGCTTCCTTGGAGTATAATCCCAGTAAAGGAATCTCTGGTTCAAAGGGTATAAACATTTTAGTCATTTTATTTGCATAATTCCAAATTACTTTATTAAATGATTGTGCTATTTCACAGCTCCACCAACAATGTATTAGTGTGCGTATAGTTCCACAACCCCTCCAACATTGACTGTTGCCATTTTTGGTCATTTTTGCCAATTTTTGGGATGGGAAGTAAAACCTCAGGTTTGTTTTGATTTACATTTCTCTTATTATTAGTGATTTGGAGCATTTCCTATATGTGGTTCTGAATATTTTGCACTTCTTTTGAGAACTATTTGTTCATGTCCTTTGACCATTTATCTACTGGGGAATGTATTAGTCATATATGTGTGCTGTCTGTGTAGAGGCTTTTCAGTTTCATGTAATCAGAGTTATCTATTTTCTCTTTTGTAATTGTCTCTATCTCTTGTTTGGTTAAGAATACATCTCCTACTCAGAGCTATGAGAGATATGATGTGTTTCTCTACTATTTTTTGAGAGTATGATCTTTAATATTAAGGTTGTGTATCCATTTAGAATGTATTGTAGAATATGGTGTAAGGTGTTGTTCTAAGTCTAATTTCTTCCAGACTGTTTTCCAATTTTCCCAGCAGTTTTTTTTTTTAGATGAGGCAAGTAGGGTTAAGTGACTTGCCCGGGGTCACACAGCTAGCCAGAAGTTTTTATTAAATAAGGAGTATTTTTTTGTTAGGTAAATCATGTCTTCTTCTTTATCAAACACTGGATTATTGAATTCTATTGTTTCCAGTTCTCTCTTGCCTAGTCTGTTCCTTTGATCTCTCTCTCTCAACCAATACCAGATGGTTTTGATGACTGATGCTTCAGAATATAGTTTGATGTCTGTAAGTACTATTCTTCCTCCATTCCCTTAACTCCCCTTTCATTGGGTGTCTAGGTGGCTCAGTGCATAGACTGCTGGACCTAGAGTCAGGAAGATCTGAGTTCAAATGTGGCCTTGGACACTTACTAGCTATGTGACCCTGGTCAAGTAATTTAATCTCTGCCTCAGTTTTCTCATCTGTAAAATGGGAATAATAGTACTTACCTCTCACGGTTGTTGTGATGATCAGATGAGGTAATAATTATAAAGCACCTAACACAGTGCCTGGCACATAGTAAGTGCTATATAAATGTTAGCTATCAGCTAATATTATTATCCTTCTTTTCATCATTTCCCTTGATATTATAGATCTTTTTTTTTTCCAAATAAATTTTGTTATTGTTCTATCAAGTCTTATAAAGTATTTTCTTGGTAATTTGATTGGTACAGTATTAAAAGTATTAATTTTGGTAGTATTTTCATTTTTATTGTATTAGCATGGCTTAGCCATGAGCTAATTTTCCTTTAGCTATTTGGGTAATTTTTTGTTTCTTTAAGGAGAACTTTGAGTCTGTAGAAGTATTTTGTTTGCTTTGTGTGGCTGATCCCCAGATACTTTATGAATTTTATAATTTGTTTATCTTTCTGTTAGACTTATCCAAAACTGAGAGAGTGATACTGAAGTCTCCTGTCACTTTTGACTGTCTATATATTATTATTTTTTTTGGCTAGGCAGTGGAGTTAAGTGACTTGCCCAGGGTCACACAACTAGTAAGTGTTTTTATGTGTCTGAGGCTGGATTTGAACTCAGGTCCTCCTTAATCCAGGGCCAGTGCTCTATCCACTGCGCCACCTAGGTGCCCCAGACTGTCTATATATTATTGAAGCTTAGATGTTTCCTTTGTGAACTTGTATGCTAAGACATCTGGAGCATATAAATTTATTACTGATATTGGTAGTAGCTTCCTTATTTATTGTGTATAGTTCCTTTCATCACAATGTAGTTTCCTTATTTATTTCTTTTTATTTTTTGAATATTTAATTTTGCTGTATCAGATAGCATGATTGCAACTCCTGTTTTTTGGATTTACTTGCTGTATAGTAAATGTTATTTTGTGTCTGTTTTTTAAATGGTGTTTCTTGTAAGCAATGGATTGTAGGGTTTTGTTTTCTTATCCAATTGGTCACTCTTTTCCATTTTATTGAGTTAATGTATTCACATTTAGAATTATGTTAGGTTTACATCTTCCTCCATCTGTCTCCAGTATTGAGTTTTTAAAGTCATGATCCACCTCCCCTCCTGCTGTAAATACAGTAGTATGCTTCTTCGGTTACTTTACCTTAATTTTTTTTAAAGATGGCCATATTTCCTCTGGCTCTCTTTCCCTTGCCCTAGATCCCCTCATCTTGTTTTCTCTTTGGGGTTTTGCTTTTTAATTCTTTTTTTATCTCCTGTTTTTATCGAGTTATATAATTCCTCTCTCCCACCTTTTTTCCTCTCCATTGGTATCACCTTTATATACCATAACTTGTTTAACCATTCTCCAATTGATGGATACCCCCCTCAGTTTCTGATTCTTTGCCACGACAAAAATAGGTGCTATAAACATTTTTTATTTCTTTGAGGTATAGACCTAGTAGTACAGTTTAATAACTTTTGGGACATAGTTCCAAATTGATTTCCAAAATAGTTGGACCAGTTCACAGCTCCACCAGTAGTGCATTAAAGGGCCTGTTTTTCTTTTCAACCATATTCCCTTCCGCATTTCTCAGTTTTCTTTTTTATCATCTTAGCCATTCTGATGGGTGCAGGGTGGTACCTCAGAGTTGTTTTAATGTGTATTTCTCTGTTTCTTAGTGATTTAGAACATTGTTAGTAGCTTGGATTTTTTCCTTTAAAAATTGCCTGTTCATATCCTTTGAACATTTATCAATTGGAGAGTGGCTTTTATTCCTATAAATTTTTTTTCCTATTTTTTCCTGTATTTCCTATATTTTTATTCCTATAAATTTTACTCAGTTCCTTATATATTTTAAGAATGAGACCCTTATGAGAGAAACTTACTATAAAATTTCCCCCAAATTTTCTGCTTCTCTTCTAATTTTAGTTGTATTGGTTTTATTTGTGAAAAAACTTTATGATTGAACATAATAAAAATTGTCCCTTTTACTTGCTGTGAACCTCGCTCTCTTGTTTGTTTTTTGTTTTTGTTTTGTTTTGCCGAATCTAATAAGATTAAATTTACTGAGATCAATGTAAAGTCATACTTGCATTGAAAAAAATCAACTTCACAAGTACAAGCTGGGAGAGGCATGGTTAGATAACAGTTTGAAAAAGATCTGGGAGTTCTAGTGGACTACAAGCTCACTATATGACAGCATTGTGATGTGGCAGCTGAATGTGCATTGGTTGCATTGAGAGGCATACCTTTCACGTTTAAGGAGTCTCTCTGTACTCTGCCTTGGTACCCATTTGGAAGGAATACTGGATTTGGTTCTGGTGCCTCATTTGAGGAAAGACTTTGATAAGCTGGAGAGCATATAGAGGAGGGCAGTCAGGATGGTGAAGAGTCTGGAGTCCATGTCATATGAAGATCAGCTCAAGGAACTGGGGATATTTAGTGTGGAGAAGACAAGACTCAGGGGAGACATAATATCTCTCTTTCAGTATTTGAAGAGCTGTCATGAAGAAGAGAGATTTGATTTGTTCTTTGACCCCTGAGAACAGAACCAGGAGCAGTGGGTAGCAGTTGCAAAGAGATCAATTCAGGTTTGATGTTAGGAAGAACTTGGGAACTAGCAGAACTGCCCCAAATTGGAATGGGCTGCCTTGGGAGGCACTGAAGTCCTTCCTCCTTGGGGCTTTTCAAACATAGGTTGTTATCCTTGGGGTTTCTTTGGGAATATCATAGATTTGCCTAGATGGTCACTGAGGTCCCTTTAAGCTCAAAAATTTGGTGATTCTGTGAGGAGTATGTCCACTCTTCCACATTGGACTAATGTATTAGGGATATAAGAATAATAATAAGCATTTATATAGCGCTTAAGGTTGGCTGAGTGATTTATGTGTGTTATCTCATTTGATTTTCATAACCCTTATGAGATAGCTGCTATTATTAGACCTTTTTTACGGATGAGGAAACTGAGGCTAAGAGAGGTCAAGTGACTTGCTTAGGTTCAAACAACTAAAAAGTGTCTGTGGTCAAATTTGAGCTCGGGTCTTCCTAATTCCAGGTCCATCACTCTTACCCATCGTACCACCTAAGTGCATCTGGAGCTGGAGAGGGAGACTAGGGCTACAGTGTCTGCTGGGGCCCATGTTTCCTCAGGGATGGGAAGTCAGTTAGACCCACCTGCACAAGCATCCACTCCTTCCAATAAAAACACTTGAGTGATGCTGATCTGTATACTACAATTTCTCCTTTGTTTTAAGTTGCTTATTTTTATTTTTCAAGTAATGAATATTTAAAAAATTAACCTGTCCTCCCTTCTACCACCTTCCTCCTCCGTTGAGCAAGTTTTTAAAACTCTGGAAAAAGAAATCCATCAATACATGGTTACGTAGTCTTGCAAAACAAATTCCCCCATTAACTATATCCAAAATGTATGTGACTTTCTGCATTCTGAGTTCACCACCTCTCTCTAGGAGGAGAGTGGCACATTTAAGCTTCAGTCTTTTCGACATATGAATTATCATTGCCTTGATCAGAGTTCCAGTCTGCCAAAGTTATTTTTCTCTTTAATGTTGTTATCCTTGTATACATTGTTCTTCTGGTTCTGCTCACTTTGCTTTGCCTCAGTTCATAAAGGTCTTCCCAGTCATACTATGATTTGTTCAATCATTCCCCAATTGGAAAGGTTTTCAATATGGCTGTCCTCTATATAAAAATCCTTGGACACCAGTTTGCTTGAGTTCCCAGTAGAGGTGACCTTCTGCCTTTCTCCCTTCAAATTCACCTCTTAGCTTCCAAAGCTGTCCTCTCTTACTTTTCACCTCCTTTCAACTCATTATTCTTTCCTAGACTCTGGTGCTGGGGAAAATGTAGGCACAGCAAACCAGAGTCCCTGTAGACATGTCTCTTCTGTTACACATCAGGTAGTACCCATTTAGAAGTGGGTATACAGCAGTCTGTGGGGACCAGCTGTGATTTCCATTAATTTTTGTCCTATGCCAGCAGACAGACCCAACCCCCCTCTCCCCAGGCGCTGCAAGCTAGGAAGGCTGACAGAAAGGAGGAAGCTCATTGCCACCAACTTTTGATCAAGGTGCAAGAGTGAATTCCCCAGTGGTTGTGCAGGATGATATTTTTCTGAATTTCTTCTCTGCACCTTCCTACCCACCCTTTCTCAGTCAGATACACGTTTTTGTACGTCAGTTTCTAAGGATGACAACAACATTGCCTTTTCTATAACTTTGGCTTTTAGCTATAAATTATCTATCTTTTATGTAAGACCTCTTCCAGAACTCACTGAATAAATAACACTGGCTCGGGATATAGATAGTGAGTAGATGCCCTCTTGGCATCTCCCTACTTATCTTATGTTTCATTTCTCTATTAGCAATTTTAAATATGTCCTTTAAAATCTAGAGATCATTCTTCTTGTTGGAAGAAAGTAAAGCATGTATTAAGGAAGAGCAGAGAGTTCTTCTGATCATCTCTGCTATGTGAAATTAGAGCTGAGTAGTTCTGTCTTCAGTCAATTGTTATTGTTCCATCCACGGTGAGCACTAGTCCAAGTAAGTCTCATTTCTCCAATTCAATCACAAAATCCTCAACATTTTCTGAATTTTTTATATCCCTTCTCACTCTTCTACCCCCTCCACCTCCAATTTTGCACATTGCTGGGTACATAATAAGTATTCTGTAAAGATTTTTTTTCATTGAATTGAAATAGTTTTTCTTAGTTTTGTGATTGTTTGAAACTTAGAAAATATTTTAAGGAGGTTTTTGCTTAATTTGCATAGCAGATAATTAACTGGGAGAGTACCAAATTTGTCCTTTTTTTTTTTTGCAGGTGTGTGGCATTGGAACAACTTGGTTTCTAGTTACCTCATGGAATAATTCTAATTTATGATTTGGAAGAAGAAGCTTTATACAAAGCATCCACAACTTATGCAAGCATCTACAGCTTTTCCTTTTCCCAATTGGGGATTGGCCTTCAAAACTGGTCTTCAGAAGCTCCTTGAAAGTCAGTCCATTTTATTCTATGACCATGTCTTCATGATACACAGCAGTATTGAGTCTCTCAGGCCATTTGGACAATTCAGTGAAGACAAAGCAAACTGGTTGCTTGAATTAAAAGGCTGATTGGTTGGTTGAAGGCCAGCTTCATCAGAGTGGTTGAAATAATGGGTATGTATAAACCCAACTTTGGAATTCCACTATCAGTACTTGTCTTCACCTTTTACTTAGCTAACTGGGGTCATTTTTCTTATATATCTGCAGGTTCAGATTCACTTACGTCTGGCAATCAGGAAGAGCAAGAAAATGGAACTGCATTGATCCTGAGGTAATTCATTCATTTATTCATTCAAAAACATTTATTTCACTTATTTCTTAAAATTAAAATATTTTTCAATTAATAATTAAGTTTATGGGGAAAGATGCTAAGTTTCATTTCAGACATGTTGAATAAAAGCTACCAGTGGATCATCTGTATGGGGATATCTAACAAGCAGTTTTTTGTCATATTAAAAATAACCATTCCAAGATGGTTTCAGAAAAACCTGGGAAGACTTGTATGAACTGATGCAAAGCAAAGTGAACAGAACCAGGAAAACAATGTATATATATGTATATATATGTGTGTGTGTGTGTGTGTGTGTGTGTGTATCTATCTATCTCAATAGCAATATTGTAAAAATAATAAACTTTGAAAAACTTGGTAAGTCTGTTGAACACGATGACTAACATGATTCCAAAAGATTCATGATGAAACATGCTGTGCACCTCCAGCTACAGAACTGATAGACTCAGAGCACAGATTAAAATGTGTTTTCTTCTGTTTCTTTCTTTTTCTTTGAAACATGGCTAAAGCAGAAATTTGTTTTGCACAACACTATACATATTTGTAATAGGTTCTGTTTTTTTTGCCTTCTCAGTGGGTAGGGAAGGGACAGAGGAGGGAGAGAATTTGGAACTGAAAATAAAATTGAATTAAAATAAAATAATAAAATAACTATTTTTGTTAACTAGAAAAAGTTCCTTCTACATCTGTGCTTTATAGTTTTTAGCATAAATGACTGTTGTACTTGATAAAGGGTTTCTATACACTTCTTTTTATAATTAAGTTGGTGAGGTACATTTTTCGGTCTATACCCTATTGGTAAAGGAACTCCTGATAAAGAAACTTCCTCTAGCAGTGGAACTTCTCAGCAACATATAGTGATAGAGAATTCTCTGGGGGCAGTGAGAGATTGAGTGACATGCCCAAGGTCACACAGCAGGTATGTGTCAGAGGAGGGACATGAACCCAGGTCTTTATGGCTCTCTCCATTATGCCACATTTCCTCTCATAGACATTTATACTCTCAATCAATTCAACTCTAATGTCATTCAGTCCAGTCACTTGGGAGTGTTCTCTATGGGCCAAGATAGTACATGGATTGTCTAAGTCTTAAACTTTTCAGTTAGCTGTTGTCATGTCATATAAGCATTCAAATCCCACTGGCCTCTGCTGATCAAAACCAGACAGAACTGGCTCTTCATCATGTAAAAAAAGGTGGTATAAAATGTAAGGAGCTTTTAAAAAAGAGATTTTCAACACAATCCATTTCCCTCATTAAAATATGGGTCTTTTGTAAGGGCACCATTACCTAGGAAATTGACAACGCAGGTAAAGTCAGTAACAATGTATTCTTCCCCTTTTAAGCTAAATGACTTCAACTCATCTCAAACACAATTAGTAAATGTTAGTCTTGCCTTGAATAAATCTCATTATGTGAATTTGCATACATTAGCACATGACTTAAACAGACAAAGGCTGGTGAAATTATTGATTTCATGTGTAATTCTTTTTAATATTTGCTACTAGCCTAATCAAGCTGCCTACATTTCTCCCTTTTTAGGGATTTCTCTTAACAGAACACAATTATTCCACTTTTTTGGTTGTGTAACTCTAAAGTGGATAAATAAAAAGCTGAGAAAATGATCTTGGATTGAAGAGGGCAATATGAAAATGTGCTGATCCAAGTTTTCTGACCTTATTTCAGGTGCCATTAGCAATTTAATTAACCAGGGTCCCATTTTACATATTACATATCTGTTGTCAGTTACTTCATTTGTTTATTGGAACCAAAGGTCACCTGCCTCCATTTGAGTCATTAAAGCCAGCATATAATAATAATATGCTGGAATCTCAAGAGTGTGTGCAAGGTCCTAGTCTTGGCCAATCTATGATATTGAAAGTAATAATCTAAGCACAAGGTTGCTTTGGGAGGTAGTGGGTTCTTCCTCCTTGGAGATCTTCACCCAAAAGGTGACTGACCACTTTCCGACCACTTGATGGTATGCAGTGCTTCTTTAATTGTGGGTTGCAACCCCATATGGGGTCAGATGCCCTGAAGGGGTTATGAGTAGAAAAAGTTTAAGAAGCCCTGAAGGAGCTTCTCATTCAGGTATGGTTTGGACTAGATGGCTGCCAAGGTCCCTCCTTGCTCTGAGAGTCTGTGATTGGTGGGAGAAGCATCTCACACAGGATAACATAGCAGCACAGAAGCCAATGGTGAGATGGACAAGCCTTGGGCTTGCCTTGTATTCTTGCAGCCCGTTTTTCTGTTTGCCTGTATCCACTCCCCCATAGCCTACCTCCTTCCTCTCCCTGCCTTAGATCGGCAGCTCCTCTATTGCAGCTGGCTGGTTTGTGTTTAGACTGTTGCTAGGCTCAGCTGTCTCCAAGGAGACCTGTTTGAGTGCTTGCTATTTCAAGTGTCTGGCTACAGCTGCCAGGCCATTTAACCCTGCCTTCCTGCTCATAGTTTGGCAAGACTAGCACGTGATCCTCTTTGTGTCATTTCTCCTGTTTAAAATCCTAGGTACTGTGCTCAGAAAGAGGGTGCTGTACCCACAGAAACCATTGCCTCTTTCTGAGGAACAGAATTTCTTGAAAAGGGGAGTTTCTGTCTCTCATTGCCTAATCCCACTGAGTTTCTCCAAGAAAGTTCTGGAGTCAGAGAAACTGGGTTCCAATTCTGCATCTGATTCTTACTAACTGTGGGACCTGCAGCAGGCCACTTCACCTTTCCTGGGTCTCAGTTTCATTCTCTATAAAATAGAGATAATAATGCTGATGCTCTTCGATTTCACCCCCAGAACAGTGCTTGGCTCATAGTGATCAATACTTGTTGACTGATTGGCAATAATTACTCAGATTTACATAACACCTTAAAGTTTGTAAAGCATTTTACGTTTTATACATCACTCTCACCACTCTGTGAGGACCCGGAGGCTCAGAGGGTTAAGTGCTTTGTTCATGATCACATAGCTAGTAAGGACAAAGGGATTCAAAGCTGGGGCTCTTGAAGCTGCAAGTCCAGCCTTCCTCCCACTTCCCCACCATTCTCCCATCCCCTCCCCAGCTTTATGCCCCTGGAGCCCTCCTAGCTTATTACTTCTCCATTTTCTCATAGCTAATCAGTTTCCATATCCTACCAATTTTCCCCCTGAACTCAGGCCGGGTCCTGCCTTTGTGAATTCCCCATGCCAATGACAAAGCATTCTTAGTTAATCATCGAAGTAGGTATCCTAAAGACCTCTCCTTTGATAGGCTAATTTCACTGACTACTTTTAAAGTAAGAAAACAAGATTGCTTAAAATATATCCTATAATCCACACTCTAGCCCCCAGTCCTTTTAATCTGAATTAATGATGTTGGACTATGTTTGAAAAAGAAGGGGTTGGCAGCTTCATTCATTCATTCATTCATTCATTCATTCATTCATTCATTCAACAAACATTTAGAAGTGACTTTTATGTGTGAGGCCCTTGCTGGGTGAGGAGGAAGGTACAAAGATGGGTGTGGTGTTTTTTTCCTCAAGGCACTTACAGTCTAATTGGGGTGGTTAGATCTGAGATCTCCTTGATTTGATGAGTTACCTCCAAGAATAATGACAGTCCATCCATAGTCTATGCCTTCCCAACGTTTTTTTCCATAACCTCCCATAAATTTCCCACACAGAGTCCCCCCCCCCAACCCCCTGTGCAAGATTAGGGATGTACACAGATAAATAAATAAATAAACTACAGCTAAGAATAAGCATGTAAGAGGATTAAACAGTGCTATGAGATCAGATAAGGAAGTTAATTTAGAATTTTAATATTTTGAAATTCTAAAGCTTACTAACACCAAATAAAACAAGCCTTTCCAAATACACAGTAGAACAGCAAAAGAAGATTGTATATAAAACTGAGAATTTCTGTTGTTAATTATAGGATTGAAAGTGGGAAAGGACTTTCCAATTCATCTAGTTCAACACCTTCATTCAACAGATGAAGAAAATGAGGTGCTGTTTTATGTCTTAATAACTTAACATATTTGGTAGTTTAATTATTTAAGATTCTTTCACTTTTTTTTTAGTTTTGTGAGTTTTGAATAAAACATTTTAAATTTTATTTTATTAAGACAGAGCATGCTGTCATGCATTGTGTGTGTGTGTGTAACAATTTCTGGATTGACACTCTCTTTGACTTGGTAGTGAAGGTGCTTTTGCTTGGCCACCTCAGCCACTTGATCTATCTCATTCGACTTTTTCTTGTGGGATTACACCAAAACTGTTGTGTCTGTATCAAGACATTGTTCTTTGGATGATCCTGAGCCTAGGATTACAAATGTAATTCTTTTAGTCACTGAGTAACAGTTGATGAAAGTTCAAAGTGGCTGCAGTGATGTATAGCACAAGGTGGGGTTATGTTGAATTTTAATAAAAAACATTAATATTTTAAAATTTTAAACAATTAACATTTCAAAATTTTTGGGTAAGTTTGTAGCATTGAGATTTCTGAAGTTCTTGAAGCTTCAAAACTGTACTTTTGGGACACCCTGCATATACACACACACATATATATATATGTATGTGTATATATATATATATATATATATATATATATATACACATATGTATATATATACATACACACATGTATGTACACACACCAATGGATGACTCTATAGCTTGACCATCCAACTGCATAGTATAGTCTTAATAATAGACATTCTTCCTCTACTCAGTTTTTCCTCTGTGAATGGTTAGGTCAGACTTTTTTGATTACTTAATGATCTCTTCCAGGAGTTTCAGAAGAATTCTGCTGCAACAGGCAAAATGTCATATCTGAAGAGGAGTGGAAGACTACGTCATCGATAGAAAATTCTCTTTCATCTTGGAGCCTGTGCTGGATCCTGGAGCTTGGCAGTGGTGAGCACCTTTGGAGAGCATACCTCTCTGTTTTATATTTTGCCTGTTATTTATCATCTGAGAGTTGTTGAACATGGCTATCTGTGTTGTTATACCTTTCAGAGAATCTTACTTACCTTTGATAAACACCTGTTTGAAGGAGAGTCTTTCAGGCAGTGTTTTGCTCTGTCAAACCAAATGCTCTTTTATATTACACAAACAATAAGCACAGTGGGAGCTTGTATTCTCTATATGTTTTGGTCTATAGTGTGATGGTAACAATGTAGTCACTATGGAATCTTTGTTCCAAAAGCCTATTCCTTACAAATACCTTCATTGAAGATGCCTCCAATAGATGATGTCTATAAAAATGTTATATAAATGGGAGAAGAGGCATATGGGTTTGTAGTTGTTGGTGTTCCTTTTCATATATATAATTTTTTGCTCTTTAGGAGTATTTCATTGCATTGTTATGCCACAATTTATTCAGCCATTTGCCAGTTTGTAGCTACCTATTTTGTTCCCAGTTTTTTCCTTGCAACCTGAAAAAGTGCTGCCTTGAATTTTTTTGTTATATATGGTGCCATTCTTTGTGTCTTTGACCTCCTCAGGGCATACGCCCAGTAGTGGAACCTCTAGGTCAAAAGGTGTGAGCAGTTTAGAGATTTCTATGGCAGAATTCCAAATGATTTTCCACAATGGTCAAAACACGTCACAGCTCCACTGACAGCATATTAATACATCTTTTCTCCCACAGCTTCTCCAGCACAGATCATTTCTGTCTTTTATCATTCTTGACAATTCAAGGCCCATGACATAAAAACTCAATTGTGTCCTTCTCTAGCCACCCTTTATTTGACTTATGCATGTCTTTCCTAAAATGTGGTCCCCTGAACTGAGCACAGCATTCTATTTTTTTAACTATTTTTTTTTTTGGCAAGGCAGTTGGGGTTAAATGACTTGCCCAGGGTTACATAGCTATTAAGTGTCAAGTGTCTGGTCTGAGACCAGATTTAAACTCAGATCCTCCTGACTCCAGGACCAATGCTCTATCCATTGCGCCACCTAGCTGCCCCAAGCACAGCATTCTAGATCTAAGTCTGACAATAATAACAACAGTAATAATAACTATCATTTATTTACTGTGTTCTAGGCACTATGCTAAGTGCTTTACAATTATGATCTCATTTGATCTAGGACAAGATATAGTTGGGTCTTTAAGAAGTGCATAGTAGAGCAGGACAAGGACAAGGTATAATAGGACTCTTAACTTTCATAGTCCTTGACATGCTGTCTCTCTTAATGCAGCCCAAGACATCACTGGCTCTGACTGCCATATCACACCTCCTTATTCTACAGAGAAAGAAGCTGAAGCCCAGAGAGAAGTTTGATGATTTACCTCAGGTCTCCTACATAGTAAGTGCTGGGAAGCAAGTCCAGGTCTTGACTCTGAATCAATCCAGTTCCTTTCCACTCCTCCACATTGCCTCTCATTGGAAAGCTCCATTTTCTTCTTTCATTCACCATGGTTTTTATTCCTAGCCCAACTTGGCAGAGCTGACAAGGCCCATCCTCTATTCCAGTAGCTCTGTCACAATATTTGCTGCCTAAAGGCCTGACTTACTCCTGCCTAATGAATGTGCTTTGTTGTTAATGCTCAGAAAATGGGCCATTGAGGTCCTGCTTAATTAGGGCCAGCTTGAGATCTAAAAGAGGGGAGGAGTGGTAGGGGAATAAATAGCTCATGCCTAGGGAGAAAGGGGGAGAGGGAAGCAGGCAGCAAGGCAAATGTTTGCCTTGGATGGTAGAATAATGGGTCCAGGTCATTGCTTCACTGTTTTCCTTGTCTAATCAAAGGTGACTTTGTTCTTATTCGTTGCATTCTGGGCTCAAAGCCTTTCATTTTGTAGAGGAGGAGGCAGAGGCCTCGAGAGGATAATGGATTTGTCTAAGGTCACACAGTTAATATAGGGGATTAACCAACCAATCACCAGGCTTTTATTAAGTGACTTCTATTCTCTCCCCTTAGAATATAAACTCCTTGAGGGAAAGGATTGTTTTTGATTTTTCTTTGTATCCCCAGTGCCTCGCAGAGGGCCTAAAGTATAGTAGGTACTTAATAAATACTTGTTGAGTTACTGGTATGTGCAAGCCTTGTGTTAGCTGTTGGGGATGCAGAGACAAATAAAACAGTCCCTTTTCTCAAGGCGTTTACATTCTATGAGAGGAGATAATATGTAAACATCTAATGATTTCAAATCATATACAAGGAAAATGCAAAGTAATTGGGAGGGGGGCTCACCAACAAACCACTTTAGTATCTTTGCCGAGAAAACCCTGAATAAGGTCACAAAGAGTCAGACGTGCCTGAAACGACTGAACAACAAAAAGCAGCTCAGGGAAGGCCTCATGAAGAAGATGGAACCTATGGATTTTAAGAGTTAGAGGTGAGGAGAGAGTGCATTCCAGGTATGGGCAACCATCTTGGTAGAGGGAAGGAGACAGAAAATGTATAGCAAACTATGAGAAGGTCACTTTGGTGGGACCACAGATTGTATGAATAGGAGTAATGTAGAATAAGTTGGAAAGGTTGTGAAGGGGAATGGAATGTCCAGACCTCTGCTTTAGGAATAACACCTTTTGTGTGGTTGGATTAGAGAGGACCAATTAGAGAGGACTTGAGGCCAGGCAACTGGTGGGGAGGCTATTGCCTTTTTTTTTTACCTTGTTTTAAAAAAATCATGTAGGAGTATTAGATGTCAAGTTCAAAATAGTACCTTATGTTCTAAGGTCCTTCCCAATTCTGACATCCCATGTTCTCTGTTCTAAGGCCCTCCCCGGTTCTGCAATTCCATGGTCTCTGTTCTAAGATGCCTCCCATCTCTGGCATTCCATGGTCCCCTGAGGAGAGAGGAAATAGAGAAGGAAGAGGATAAAAGGAAGGGAGCAATGGGGAGAGTAGGCAAAGGGAAGGGACCATTGGGGAAGAAAGAGGGATAAAACAAAGGAAAGGTACCACTGAAGAGGGAGAAGAGACACAGAAGGAAGGGATTACTGAGAGGGAAAAAAGGAAGAAAATAATGGGAGGGAAGAGGCCATTGGGGATGGGCAGTTGGTGTCATGGCAGGTAGGACGCTGCCTCAGACATATATGCTGGTTTGACCTCAGATGAATCTTTTAGCCTCATTCAGCCTCGGTTTCCTCCACTATGAAATCACGAGGTAGGTTTGACAACTTCTCAAATCCTTTCCAGCTCTCTGATGCTATGAGTGACATAAAGAGAAGGGAAAATCCCCATGAGAATGAGGTTGTAGGAGGGAGACAGAGTTAACAGGCAAAAGACCCTTGAGAAAGGAAGAGAGGCACAGGGAAAGGACTGATATAGGTCCTTTCCCTTAAGGGAGAGTGGTGTCAAGGGAATGAGGCAGCTAGAACTCCATGTGGAGAGAGGACTTACTGTACTTGAAGTCTCAGTGACCTGATACAGATCTTGACTCACAGATTGACTGGCTGTGTTACTCTGGGCAATTCACTGAAACTCTCTGACTCAGTTACTTTTATTCTAATATGATGAGATTGGGCTCAATGGCCTTTAAAGTCTCTTCAAGCTCCAAGTCTACGATTCTGTGACTATGATATGGACAAAAGGAAATACCACTTGGTCTGGGCTAGAGGGAGAGAGACTGAAAGAGAGAAGAAGATTTTTGAGGAGGTCAGAGAGAAAGTTCGACTGTGGCTAGAGGAAAGGGAGAAAATCAAAGGGAAGGACAATTGGGGGTGGAGGAAAGATGCAAAAGGTTAGGTGGAGAGACAAAGAGACAGAGAGGGAGAAAAAGTCACACACAGAGAACAAGAAACAGGGATGAGAAATAGAGAGAGGGGAAGAGAGAATATACCCAGGAAAAGAATGTTTGGTTGAATTGATTTTCAGACCTCTTCTTTTTAATCAGCTTAGCTAAAGGCTTATCAATTTTAATAATATTTTCAAAGAAACAACTTTTAGTTTAATTGATGATTTATATAGTTTTTGGCCTACAGCATATCTTTTTCCCCCTGCCTAATAATCTCCAATTTGGGGCTTATTTTAGGATTACTTATTTGTTAGCTTTCTAATTTAAAAAAAATGAATGTTCATGTCATTAATTCTCTCTTTTTATTTTGTTACTGTATGTTTTAGGACTGCAATCTTTGACCTGAGGACTGCTTTTGCTGCTTCCCACAAATATGGGTATATTGTTTCATCATTATCATTTGTTTTCACATAACTATTGTTTCTTTAGTTTGTCCTTTGACCAAATTATTATTTAGAATTTCATTATCATGTCTCCATTTGGGTTTGTGTGGAAAAGATTACTTGGTAATGGCAGTGTGAGAGAGAGAGAGAGGAGACTACTGTGGAGCAGGGGAAGAAGGTGCATGTGAAAGCCATTGGAAGGAGTAGAAGGAGGATTATAAAAGAAATGGACAATGGAAGATAGTAGGGAGACAATTGGGGGCAGTCAGGTAGCACAGTGGATAGAGTATTAGGCCTAGAGTCTGGAAGACCCCTCTTCCTGAGTTCATATCTGGCCTCAGACACTTACTACCTATGTGACCCTGGGCAAGTCACTTAACACTCTTTGCCTCAGTTTCCTCAACTGTAAAGTGATCTGGAAAAGGAAATGTCAAACCACTCCAGTATCTTTGCCAAAACCCCAAATGGGGTCACGAAGAATCTGATATGACTGAATAATAATAGAGAGGCAGTTAGGTGTCATGGTAATAGAGTACTTTAGTAGGAATTAGGAAGATCTGAGTTTGAATCCTGCTTCATAAATGTTCTAGCTGTGTAATCCTAGCCAAGTCACTTAAATTCTCTAAACCTCAGTTTTTTCTGTTCTAAAATGTGGGGACTGGACTCAGTAGCCCTTAATGTCCCTTATAGTTGTAAATATATGATAATATTGGTGACAGAGAGAGAAGGAAGTTCTCTCTGGTCAACTACCAGAGGGTGGAAGGAAAGATATTGAGAGAGAGGTACAGCTTCTAAGGAGGAAGGGAGAGGAAGAGAGAGATAAGAGAGGAAGACAGAGGTAAGGGAGAAAGAGAGAAGAAAGAGAGGGAAACGGAGAGGGAGAGAGAACACTACATGATAATAAGCAAAGGAATGAGGGAAGAGACTTTTATAAAGGAAAATGAAGAATAGAGATAAGAAACCACAGGTGAGGAAGAGATTCAAAAGGAAGAGACACTTGGCATGTATAGAACAAGCCACGTGAGTGCCATTGTGGTTAGAGCACTCCACTTGGAGTTCAGTATATTTCAATCCCATCTTAGCCACTGACAAGCTCTGCTACTCTGGAGAAGTCATTTAACCACTGTCAGCCTCAGATTTCTCCGAATTAATTTTATGGTTCTGAATTTGATGGTGTTTAATGATGCTCCAGTTCCATGATCCTCTTGATCACAGAGAGAGAAAAGCATGTCCACTTGGGATTAAGCTTGAACAGAGAGAGACAGAATTAGGGAGAATCTGGCATTGAGCATGAGAAGGAGAAAGAAGGAAGCAGCCATAGGAAACAGAAGTGTGTGCAGTGGGGGAATATGTAGAGCAAAACAGCCAGGTCTCCTAGTGGACTCTTCTTGGAAGTCAGAGTGACCTGAGTTCAAATCCTAGTTAACATTTTAATTAAATAGTTGATGCCAGGCAATTCGGTTGGAGTATATCAGCCTCTGTCTGCTCTTATACTACCATGTATTTGGATTCTGTGGTCCCTAAGGTTAATTCTAGCTCTAAATGTATGATCATCATCATGAAAGGGGGACAAAAAAAGACCAGTTATTATTGGGTGGGAATTATTGTAAGGAGACAAAGCGTTTGAGGAGAAGGGAGAAAGAAGGAGAAGTAGCAACCATGGTAGAAGAGACTATTGTGGAAGAAAATGAGGAAGAGATAAGAGACCATAGCTGAGGGAGAGATGCAAAGAGAAGGGACACCTGGCAAGAACAGTGCAATCCAGCTCGGTGTCACAGTAGTTAGAGCACTGTCCTTGGAGTTGGATCTTTGAGTTTAAATTTCACCAGAGCTGCTGACAAGCTTTGTTACCCTAGAGAAGTCACTTCACTACCGTTGGCCTCAGTTTACTTCTCATTAAATTTATTGGGCTGGATTTGGTGGGGTCTAATGACAAACCAGCTCTGAGTCTCTAGATTTCAGAGAGAGAAAAGGATGTTTACTTGTAATTAAGCTTGGAATAGAGAGTTAGGGAATAGGGAGAGGGAATCGGGCATTGAGGATGAGAAGAAGACAGAAGCAAGTATACCCAAAAAATGTAAGTTTGTGGATTGGAGGGCAGAAATATGTAGAGCAAAAGAGTGAGGTCTCCTACTGGACTCCTCTGAGTATTCTGAATGACTTGAGTCCAAATCCTATTTCACATTATTAATAAGCATTTGACCCTGGGCAATTCAGATGGAGTGTGTAAACCTCTGTTCTCTGTTATACTATAATGGAGTAGGAGTTATTGGCCCCAAGGGCTCCTCTGAGCCATAAATCCTTGATCATATTGATGATAGGGAGCAAAAGAATAGATCAGGTAATACTGAGGGGGGCATTAGAAGATGGAAAGAAAGCTTTTGAGGAGGAGATAGAGAGGAGGAGAAGGAAAGGGAGATATTGAGAGATAGAAACAGAGAAATAGAATGAGATAGTCATATATAAGTGTATATATATATACATATATAAGTATATATATGTATGTATGTATGTTAAGACAGAGACAGAGAGAGAGACAGAGAGAGAGAGGGGGGCAATGATATAGGAAGAGAAAAAGCAGAGACAGATACAGCATGAGAGACAGAGACAAACACACAGAGAACCATAAGGTAATGAGTGAGGGAGTGAGGGAAGAGACCATTATGGAGGAAAAGAGAGATGCCAAGGGAAGGGCCACCTGGCAGGTGTAGAAGAAGCCATATAGGTCTCATGGTGGTTAGAGCACTCATTCTACCACAGCTTCTGACAAGCTGTAGTACTCTGGAGAAGTCACTTAACCAGAGTCAGTCTGTTTTCTCCTCAGTAAATGTATTAAGTGTGATTTGATGGTGTCTAATGACAGACTAGATCTATGATCCTTTGGATGCCAGAGAGGGAAAAGGATGTGCACTTGGGATTAAGCTTCTAATAGAAGGGGGAAGCAGGCATTGAGGATGAGAAGGAGAAAGAAATATCCACAGTAAAGAGAAGTGTGAAGGGTGGGAGGAATATGTAGACCAAAACAGCCAGGTCTTCCTGTGGACTCTTCTTGGAAGTCAGAATGACCTGAGTTCAAATCCTAGTTAATATTCTGAATATTTGACAATTTGGGAATTTCAGTTAGAGTGTCTGAGCTTCTTTCTTCTGTTATACTATAATAGAATTGGACTCAGTGGCCCCTAGGGATAATTTTAGCTCTAAATGTATGATCATAGTCATGAAAGGGGGAAAAAAAAGACCAGTTATTATTGAGTGGAAATTAGAGTAAGGAAGCTTTTGAGGAGGAGATAGAGAGAAGGAGGAAAAAGGGAGGGAGAGAGAGAGAGAGACAGAGAGAGAGAGAGAGAGAGACAGAGAGACACAGAGAGAGACACAGAGAGACAGAGAGAGAGACAGAGAGACAGAGAGGAAGATACTGAGAGGATGAGAAAGAGGACAGACAGAGACAGACCAAGACAGAGACAGAAGTAGACAGATACAGAGGAAGATATAAAGACAGAGAGTAGCAGTGAGGTATTAATAAAGAGACAGAGAAGAGAGGGAGAGAAAACTACATGATAATGATCAGAGGAGTGATGGAAGAGACCATTATGGAGGAAAATGAGAAAGAGATAAGAGACTACAGGTGAGGGAGAGATATAGAAGGAAGGGAAACCTGTCAACTATAGGGTAAGCCAGGAAAGTGTCCTACAGGATAGAGCACTATGCTTGGAATTGACTATTTGAGCTTTGATCACACATTGGCTTCTGACAACTTTGTTATTTTGGAGAAGTTACTAAACCATTGTCAGCCTCTTTGTTGTTTAGCAAAATCATGGAGCTGGGCTTGATGGTTTCTAAGGACCCTCCAGCTCTATGATTCTCTGGTTACCAGAAAGTGAAAGTGATGTCCACTTGGCATTAATCTTGGAATAGAGAGAGATAGAGGTGTGGGGAATCTGGAATTTGGGATGAGGAGACAGAAGGAAGCATCCACAGGAAACAGAAGTGTCTGCAGTGAGGGGAGTATGTAGACTAAAACAGCTAGTTGTCCTAGAGTACTGTTCTAAGAAGTCAGAATGACCTGAGTTCAAATCCCAGTTAACATTCGGAATACATATTTGACACCATACAATTATGTTAGAGTGACAGCTTCTCTTTTCTGTTATACTATAATAGAATTGGACTCAATGGCTCCTAGGGTTAATTCCAGCTCTAAATTGTGATCATAGTCGTGAAAGGGGAAAAAGAAAAGACCATTTATTATTGGGTGGGAATTAGAATAAGGATAAAAAGCTTTTGAATAGAAGATAGAGAGGAGAAAGGAAGAGAAAAAGAGAGACAGAGAGAAAGAGACAGAGAGTGATATAGAGATAAAGATAGAGAATGGTAGTGAGGTATTAAGAGAAACCCAAAGAGAGATTCAGTAAGAGAAACAGATGAGAGAGAGACAGAGATGAAAGAGAGAGACAGAGAGAGAGATGGAGACAGAGACAGAGAGACAGAGACAGACAGAGAGACACACGCACAAAGAGAGAAACACGTGATAATGATAAAGGGAGTGAGGGAAGAATCCTTTATGGAGGAAAATGAGGAAGAAATAAGAGATCACCAGTGAGGTAAGGATGTAAAGGGAAGGGAAACCTGTCAACTATGGGGTGAGCTAGGTAGGTTTCCTATTAGATAGAGCCATATTTGGAATTGACTACTTGAGTTTAAATCCCACTATAGCTTCTGAAAAAGCTTTGTTATTTTGGAGAAGTCATTAAGCCACTGTCAGCCTCAGCTGTCATATCATTCACTCAATGGGACTGGACTTGATAGTATTTAATGACCCTCTAGCTCTATGATCCTCTAGATCTCAGAGAGAGAAAAGCATGTCCACTTGAGTTTGAGCTTGAAGTAGAGAGAGAGTTCAGTCACTCAAGATAAGAAAGACACAGAGGCAAGTGTCCACAGGAAATGGAAGTATGGGGATTGAGGGGAATATGTAGAGCAAAATAGCCAAGTCTCCTCATGGACTCTTCTTAGAAGTCAGAATGACTTGAATTCAAATCCTAGTTCACATTCAGGATAAATGTTTGACACTGGGTAATTCAGTTAGTGTGTCTAAGCCTCTTTCTGCTGTTTTAATATAATGGAGCTCGACTCAGTGACCCCAAAGCTTCCTTCCAGCTCTAAGGCTATGATCATAGTACTAATAGGAGAAAAAGAAAAGACCACTTGTTTATAGGTGGGAATTAGAGTAAGAAGAACAAGGTTTTAAGGACGTGATACAGAGGAGAAGGAGGGAGGGAGGGGAAGAGAGAGAGAGACAGAGAGAGAG